AGGGGAACAATGTGGCAGATGTTGTAAGTGTATATAACAGGTAGTAAGTTACCAAATGCTGTAAAGAGTTTTTATGAGGATAGTGAGGCTCAGGTTAGGGTGTGTAGGAGAGAGGGAGATTACTTCCCGGTACAAGTAGGTCTCAGACAGGGATGTGTAATGTCCCCACAGTTGTTTAATATATTTATAGATGGGGTTGTAAAAGAAGTAAATGCTAGGGTGTTGGGGAGAGGAGTGGGATTAAATTATGGGGAATCAAGTACAAAATGGGAGTTGATACAGTTATTTTTTGTTGATGATACTGTGATTATGGGAGATTCTAAAGAAAAGTTGCAAAGGTTAGAAGAAGAGTTTGGAAGGGTGTGTAAAGGTAGAAAGTTGAAAGTGAACATAGATAAGAGTAAGGCGATGAGGGTATCAAATGATTTAGATAAAGAAAAATTGGATATCACATTGGAAAGAGGGAGTATGGAAGAAGTGAATGTTGTCAGATATTTGGGAGTTGACTTGTCAGCGGATGAGTTTATGAAGGATGAGGTTAACCATAGAACTGATGAAGGAAAAAAGGTGAGTGGTGCATTGAGGTATCTGTGGAGACAAAAAACATTATCTATGCAGACAAAGAAGGGAATGTATGAAAGTATAGTGGTACTAACACTCTCACATGGGTGTGAAGCTTGGGTTGCAAATGTTGCAGCGAGGAGGAGGCTGGAGGCAGTGGAGATGTCATGTCTATGGGCAATGTGTGGTGTAAATATTATGCAGAGAATTTGGAGTGTGGAAATTAAGAGAAGGTGTGGAGTTAATAATAGTACAGTGGACCCTCAGTTAACGACATTAATCCATTCCAGAGAGCTTGTCTTTAACAGATTCTGTCGTTATCCGAATTAATTTTCCCCATAAGAAATAATGGAAATCCAATTAATCCGGTCCAGACAACCAAAAGTATTAAAAAAAGTAATATTTTACATGAAATATACATTTTCCTACACAGAAAACAACGAGACATGCAGAATAAATACATAAATAAATAATAAAATGACATTTACCTTTATTGAAGATGTACTGATGAGTGATGAAACAGAAGGAAGGGAAAAGATGGAAGAGTTTACAATTGTTTGTAAGGGGAATCCCTTTCCTTAAAGACTTCAGGTAACAGGTCCTTTTCTGGGGTTACCTCCATTCTTTGTTTTTTAATGCCAATAGGACCAGCTTGAGAGTAACTGGACCCCTGTTGTACCAAAAATCTGTTCAGAGAGCTCGTTTCTGGCATCTCTAAGATTTCCCTAAAATGGGACACAACACTGTCATTGTATATGTTGCCAGCAATGCCTACAACAGCTGTGTCAGGGTGATGCTCATCCATAAATGTTTGCACATAAGAAAGCAGGAACACTGCAGCAGGCCTGTTGGCCCATACTAGGCAGGTCCTTCACAAACCATCCCACTAACAGAATCGTATTTGCCCAACCCAATTTTCAATGCTTCCCAAGCAATAAGCTTCGATAATTCTATTCACTTATGCACAAGTCCCAATCAAATCAAATCGTGTGTGTGGGGAAGTACCCTATCTGATATGTGGGGAAGCACCCTGGCTGGTGTGGGGGGGAAATACCCTGGTTGGTATCTGGGGAATTACCCTGCTGGTGTGTGGGGAAGTACCCTGGCTGGTATGTGAGGGAAGTACCCTGGCTGGTATGTGGGGAAGTACCCTGGCTGGTGTACATAAAAAAGCAGGAACACTGCAGCAAACCAGTTGGCCCATACTACCACCTCAAACACAGGCGAGAGAGATACATGATAATATACACTTTGAAGGTCCTGGAGGGATTGGTACCAAACCTGCACATGAAAATCACTCCATATGAAAGCAAAAGACTCGGCAGGAGATGCAACATTATCCTGATGAAAAGCAGGGGTGCCACAAGTACACTGAGAGACAACACAATAAGTGTCCGGGGCACAAGACTGTTCAATTGCCTCCCAACATACATAAAGGGAATTACCAATAGACCCCTGGCTGTCTTCAAGAAGGCACTGGACAGGCAACTAAAGTCAGTACCTGACCAATCAGGCTGTGGTTCATATGTCAGCTTGCGTGCAGCAAGCAGTAACAGCCTGGTTGATCAGACCCTGATCCACCATGAGGCCTGGTCTCTGACCGGGCCACTGGGGCGTTGACCCCGAAACCCTCTCCAGATAAACCCTCTCCAGATAAACCCTCTACCACCATCACTACCACCACCACTTTCATATCTTTCTACAAACTTTTTCTTGAATTTTAGTGTTTCTCAACCTCTTTACCAAAGGGCTGGCACTAGAGGCTTTGTGTGGGTCCATGGTGGCTTATTTAGCAGTCATTAGCACTAAAAACAATGGAATAATACAAAATGTATCGCATGTATGCGTGGAATCATCCTCACTGGCTTGTAAACAATGGCACACTGACTACATGGAGTGTCCGGGTGCTCACTCCTCGCAGACATGTTTGGGACGACTGTCTTTAACCAAGTTCTTTGTCGTTAACTGAGCCAATATTTTGATGCAAAAATGTGTCGTTATCTGATTTTTATGTTATCCGAAGACGTCGTTAACTGAGGGTCCACTGTATAAATCAGAGGGCTGAAGAGGGGTTGTTGAGGTGGTTAGTCATTTAGAGAGAATGGACCAAAGTAGAATGACTTGAAGAACTTATAAATTAGTAGGGGAAGGAAGGAGGGGGTAGGGGTCATCCTCGAAAAAGTTGGAGAGAGGAGGTAAAGAAGGTTTCATGGGCAAGGGGCTTGGACTTCTAGCAAGCGTGTGTGAGCGTCTTAGATAGGAGTAAATGGAGACAAATGGTTTTTGGGATTTGACGAGCTGTTGGAGTGTGAACAGGGTAATATTCAGTGAAGGGATTCAGAGAAACCAGTTATTATAGATTTAGCCGGACTTGAGTCCTGGAAATGGGAAGTACAATGCCTGTAATTTAACCCTTTGACTGTTTCGGCCGTATGTATACATCTTACGAGCCAGTGTTTTGGACGTATACATACTCAATAATTCAAGCGGCTTCAAATCAAGCAAGAGAAAGCTGGTAGGCCCACATGTTATAGAATGGGTCTGCGTGGTCAGTGTGCACTGTATAAAAAAAATCCTGCAACATGCAGTGCATAATGAGAAAAAAAAAACTCCAACCATGTTTTTGGATTAAAACATTGATTTTGAGGTGCATTTTCGTATAGTGTTTATGGTTGAATTCTCGTTTTCTTGGTCTCATTTGATAGAATGGAAAACATATTACAGAAATAGAGATGATTTTGATTAGTTTCACTAGGAAAACAACCTTAAAATTGAGCTCAAAGTAGTGGAAATGTTCAATTTTTACCAAAGTTCAAGAGTAAGCAAATCACACCACACGTCCAATATACGTCAACTGGGGAGTCTAATATTCTTTCACTAGTGCTGTGATATTATTTTTACCATTTTTACAATAATGCAGTAGTCTGCATAACAGCAAATCTTCTCTGTTTTGTGTGAATAAAAATCAAAATAGAAAGCAAGAGTAATACAAGAGGGGCCTGGAGACATGATTAATGAACAGAGGATATGTTATTTTAGTGCCACGAATGTCTGCATTCTTTATTCTGGACCCTATTTTGAAATTGGCATCTTTTTTAATTTGCATGAAATTGGCCAAATTGCCAATTTTTGACCACTTTATTGGGTAGTTGAAATCAGTAAATGGGCGATTTCTTGTATTCAATTGATAGAAAAAATGGAGTTCTAAAGAAATAGTTATGAGTTTGGTCAACTGGAACAATGGAATTGGCCGAAAATAGATTGCTAATTTCACGGGAGCATAATTCCATATGTTTTCGATCAAATTTCATACTTTTGGTGTCATTACCATCGGGAAAAGATTCTCTATCATTTCATAAGATTTTTTTTTTTTTTTCCAAAAATTTTACGGCATAGAATGAGTTTCAGAAATGGGCTTGTGACAGTCAAAGGGTTACAGGAGGGGTCTGGGATAGTGACAGTTTGGAAGGACTTCTAAACTGTCGTATCTGAGCGCCTCTGCAAAGGCAGTGAATATGTATGAGGTGAAAGCATTGAATGATGATGAAAGTATTTTCTTTTTTGGGATTTTCTTTCTTTTTGGGTCACCCTGCCTCGGTGGGAGATGGCGAACTTGTTGAAAAAACAAATATATACCTAATACTTCACCTTTCTCAAAAAGCATTTTTTTCATGATTTGCCACCGTCTTAATGCTCCAGTTTCATGGGTATAATTAAACAAGGTAACATTTATGAAGGGATTCAGGGAAATCACTTAGCAGGACATGAATCTTGGAGGTGGTAAGTACAGTACCTGCCCTCTGAAGGAGGTGTGAGGATCTTGCAGTTTGCAGGGTTATCTGAAACAACATATCAGCATGCTTCTGGCAAGACAGCAATAGAAGAATGATGGGTAAAGTGTTTCTTCTTTTTTGAGTCACCCTACTTTGGTGGGAGATGGATGGCATGTTTAAAATTTATGGCAAACTAACTAAAAGTAAAAATACGTCTAATATACCAAAACTACATCGTGAAGAAAAAATCTAGAATGTATCCTAATTTTTTTTTATATTACCATCTTTAGCTATTTCCCAACTACTCAGGGTGACCCAAAGAAGAAGAAAATAATCACCAGTACTCAATCTAGCTGCCTTTCCAAAACAACACTGATATTGCAATTCAGTAGTGAACCATCAAACCACAACTGTTCCAGCCCACATTCAGAGTGCAGCTACCAAATTCCAAAAATAAAGTCTAGCTAGCCAGTTTCTCAGAGTCCCTGAATAGGTATTATCTTACTGACAGAATTTCAAATTGCATAGACCACTCATCTCCACTCCAGTCTGAAACACTTCCATCTGCCTGCTGAAGATGAAATGATTGCTGGAAATCACATCTATACAGTAGTAATAAAACAAAAAACAAATACTATATTGTAAGACTAGTAAATATTCCTTTACCTAGCAATTGTAACCAACATTCTGGTTGCTGACTTGTGGATCACTTGGACTGTAGAGAGGTAGGTCACAATCCGAGGAACAAACTCTCGGCACACTGGGTTTATTGCCTCCTTCACATGAGCAACCTAGAGACGAGTCAAATGTAGCCTTTAAGCGCTATTCTTTGTATTTAAATTACTTTTTGGATAATGAATTATTAAGTTTGTGCCTATTTAAAATCAACCCCACTTGAACCTAATGACTCGATTAGTACCCATTCAAGGAATCTATTTGTTCTTACCTGACTGATAACACGGACAACCAACTCGAGTAATTTCAAACTCTGAGTCTCTTCTGAATTTAGATCAGAATATACTGAAGTTGAGCAAATATTGCTGTCTCTGCGAACAGGACTAGTTGCTTGCTGAACACACTGTTGCTCTTGACTCTTTTCTAACACCTAAAATATCAGAAAGGCAATAGAACAATTGGAAAAAAAATTATGAAATTTAAGAATTATCCCTAACAGATAAATTACCCCCATACTGAAGTATGATAAATTGTATTTTTTCTATAAGTATTTCTGCACTAACTTACTTTGCCAAGTGCATGTACTTTTTAAAGAATATCTTATTTACTTCTTTATTGTGCCAAGTACAGCATACCTTTCAAAAATTATTTTATTGTTGAATTAGATATGCCAGTTCATTTTTTAAGAGAATATTCCCAAAGCTTCACTACAACTTCAACATATCAGAAAATAAAAATTATTATCTAACCTTTACTGCTTTATGAACATCAGTCATGGTCTCCTCTGCAGTAGGGCTGATTTGACGCCTGATGTGGCCTTTCTTCCTTACGCGGAATTTAATTTGGTTAAGTCGTATAAAAGGAGACTTTACTGTGTCTGTCCCTTTCTCTACCTCTTTATCCAATGACTCAGCACCTGAAGATGACTGGCAATTGTTCACTTTCAACTCATTTGACGTTAAACTATTCTCATTGTTTTCTTGAGGTTTATTACTGCTCAGTGTATTTATATCACATTTAATTTTCTTTCCCTGAGGGATCTCTACACTTACACAAATTGCACTAGAATCTCTCAGCCTTTTCCCAGCTGTAGGACTTCCGACTAACTTTTCATCAATATGTTTACTAAGTTCTTCACTCTCATTCATATATAAATTATTCATTAACGGTTCTTGAGCATTTACTACAGAAGGACCGGTGCATCCATCTTGAGAGATATCATCATTGCTCAAATCACTCTCTTCAGGCCCATCAATTTCTATTTTGTCTTCAAAATCATTATCCTTTGTATCATGTACCACAGGGGAGAATCTTCCATCCTCGTCTGAATGTTCCATTTCTTCCTCGTCGTCATACTCCCAATCTGATGGAACTTTAATTGGAGATGTACAGCGAGGCGGAGAGTGGATCATGGGAGAATGAGGGGGCGATGCATATGGAGATGTTGGAGGTGATGACAAGGCAGAGTCAAGAGGCCAAGGAGTCATATTCAAAGGATTACTCTGAGAAAAAGAAGTACCTGCAAATGATAACACTGGTGATGAATCACCAGAGGTTTGAGGCAGTGGCCATGTGGAAGAGAAGTGACTGGACTCTGAGTTAGACAGATTACTTCTGGGAGAACAAGACACACTTCCAGGACTCTTTGGATTATGGTAGTTGAGTACTCCAGGACTCTGAGGGTTGTATGAAGAACTGTCGAAAGAAATAGGGAGAAGAGTATCAACTGGTATTTGGCCACATTCTCTTTCAGATGAATGACAAGATATTGATTTATGCTGGATAAACTCTGTTTGTAATTTTAATTTTGGAGTTGTTACAGGAGCAGATGTGCCGTCTTTCTGGAAGAATCACATGCTGAGTACGGTGCTATTGTAGAACTTCTAGATGCAGAATTTGATGTAAGATCTGCCTCAGAATCTGGAGAATTAGGATAAACTTTTGGGACACTTGTGCTGCTAAGAGCACTGCTTAGTATTGTAGTGCTACTATTTAACACAATTTCTTTTTCCACAACTGTCTTATTTTCCTTCTCTTCATCACCTTCAGTTTTATCACATTGGTCACCATCAATTTTTTCTACTTTTTTAACTTGGTTTTGCAAAGCTTCAGTTTTGAGAGTGTGGATGCAGCATCCAGGTTGGAAGTCTCGGCGAACAGCTTTATACTCGGTCATCAATTCATCAAACTGCTCAGCAAGCTGCGGCAAAAGTTTGGCAGCAAGAAAGTGCTTCAGAATCTGAAAATTAGGGTAATCACTTAACTATATAACACTAGTTTTGAAAATACAGTAATTCTACCATTTTCTTGACAAGAAAGTTATGTCTCAATAAATATTAGCAAAATATTAACAAATTAAAAAATTTATAATACTTTCAATACTTACTGTATCTTTATATGAGTAATTGTGTTCTACCCCAAGAATAGCTTTCAAAATGGCTGGTCTGACTTTGGCATGATGGCGGTGTGTGATCAGGAGGGAGACTAGAAGTGTTATACCCCCACATTCTATCAGTTGCATCCAAGCCCGTCCCAAAAATGTTGGGGGCTCAGAAAACGAGCCAATTGTCAAGTTGTTACACTCACTTGACCCTTCACAAAACTTGCAGAGGGCTAAAATAAGCTTCTCCTCTTCTGAAACCCAAAAGCAAATTTAGAAAAACTGAAATGCAAATCTGTGCACATTTTAAAATTACTGTATAAGGAAAATAATTTAAGTCACTAGCCATCTCCTACTAAGGTAGGTGACCCTTCCCCCCAAAAAAGGAGGAAAAATATTCATTATTAAACCAATATATACAATACACTCAGACTTAAAAAAAGTTATAAAAAATCGGACTTACCAATGGAATTCACACGTCTGTTTTGAAGTTCAGACACTATGATAGTTGGAGCACGGGCAGTGCAGAGACGATCGATAACTTTGGCATCCAGTGCATCACGTTTGTGTGTGGTGGACTCAAAGCATGTCTGCACTACATTTAAAATGGTTCGCAACACACATTCGTAAATTTCCAAGTCAGAATTTTCACACAATTTTGATACTAACATCATGTTATCAGTTCCTTCCATAATCTGCAAGATAATTATTTTTTCTAGTATTAGTAAAGAAGTGATACAAGGAGAGAGGAATATATGGAGAGAATAAGAGAGGTAGTAGGTTGGTAGACACCAACCGCCCAGGGAGGTACTACCGTACTACCAAGTTAGTGTAAAACGGAAGCCTGTATTTGTTTTACATGATGGTAGGATTGCTGGTGTCTTTTTCTGTCTCATAAACATGCAAGATTTCAGGTACTTCTTGCTACCTCTACTTACACTTAGGTCACACTACACATGCATGTACATATCTATGCACACACACTTATCTGAGTTTTCTTTGATTTTATCTTAATAGTTCATGTTCTTATTACTTTTCCTTTCATATCCATGGGGAGGTGAAATAAGAATCTTTCCTCCCTAAGCCATGTGTGTTGTAAAAGTTAACTAAAACCCCTTTTCCTGTATAGCTTACTAAAAAGAAAAAGAAGAAAACCGTCAAAGTGGGATGTTTGAATGTGTGTGGATGTAGTGCAAATGGTAAGAAAGAGATGACTGTGGATGTTATGAATGAAAAGAAGCTAGAGGTCCTGGCTCTAAGTGAAACAAAGCTGAATGGGGTAGGCGAGTTTCAGTGGGGAAAAATAAATGGGATTAGGTCAGGGGTTTCTAATAGAGTTAGAGCTTAGGAAGGTGAGGCAATAATGCTGAAGGATAAGTTATGGCAGGGAAAGGAGGGAATATAAATGTATCAATTCAATGATCATGTGGAGTAAAATAAGGGTTGGATGTGAAAAGTGGGTTACAGTAGGTGTTTATACACCTGGAGAAGAGAGAAGTGTAAAGGAGAGAGAGAGATTTTGAGAAATGTTGAGAGCGTGGGGATCTTAATGCTAAAGTGGGTAAAAATGTTGTGGAGGGAGTAGTAAGTAAATTTTGGGTGCCAGGGGTAAATGAAAATGGGGAGCTTTTAATTGAACTATGTGTAGAAAGAGGTTTGGTAATAATCAATACATATTTTATGAAAAAGAGAATAAAAGGTTGATGGGCAGGCTTCAGGATGTGCATGTTTCTAGAGGGGCAAAGGATATATCGGATCATTATTTAGTTGTAGCTACAGTTAGAGTAAGAGGTAGATGGGATAAAAAGAAAATGGCAACAGCAAGTAAGAGTTAGGTGAAAGTTTCTAAACTAATAAAACAAAATAGAACGAAAGAAACATGTAAAAGACCTGGGAATAATTATGTCGGCTGACCTTTCTTTTAAAGAACATAACAAGACAAAGAGCACGACAGCCAGGATGATGACGGGGTGGGTACTGAGAACTTTCAAAACAAGGGAAATAATGCTGATGGTGACACTCTTCAAATCACTAGTGCTCCCTTATTTAGAATGTTTCTCAGTGCTGATGGCCCCATTCAAAACATGAGAAATATCAGAGCTGGAACAAATACAGAGATCATTTATGGCTCACAGTGAGCCAGTAAAGCACCCAAATTACTGGGAACGCCTTCAAGTCTTGAACATGTACTCAATGGAGTGGAGGAGAGAGAGATGCATGATAATATATACCTGGAAAGTATTTGAGAGCCTGATCCCAAATATGCACACTGCCATAACAACATGCAGGAGTGAAAGATATGGGAGGAAGTGTAAAATAAACCCAGTGAGGAGCAGGGGTGCAATGGGGACAAAAAGGGAACACTGTATCAACATCTGTGGCCCCAGACTATTTAACATCTTACCAGAAGATACCAGAGGAGAGAGAGAGATTTTGGGGGATGTTAAGTGAGTGTGTAGGAACTTTTGAGCCAAGTGAAAGAGTAATTGTGGTAGGGGACCTAAATGCTAAAGTAGAAGCATTTAGAGAGAGTGTAGTGGGTAAGTTTGAGGTGCCAGGTGTAAATGAAAATGGGGAGCATTTGATTTAACTTTGTATAGAAAGGGGTTTGGTTATAGGTAACACATATTTTAAGAAAAAGAGGATAAATAAGTACAGGTCCTCCATCACAAATCCGGCATCATTGGGACCTGCAGTGTGCCGGATTACTGAGTTTGCAGAATTACAGAGTGGTTAGGTTAGAATACACTTAATAAAATTAACCAACTTGACTTACATAGTTCATTGAACATTGGCAAAATTCGAACATTTCCGCTACTTTGAGCTCAATTTCAAGGTACTTTTCGTCATGAAAGCAATCAAAATCATGTCTATTTCTGTAATATATCTTCCATTCTATCAAATGAATCCAAAAAAATGAGAATACAACCATAAAAACCATACGAAAATATACTGCAAAGAGGCGGCTAATGGCTGAGAAGTTAACTCCCTTATTTATCGTCCGTCTTTTTTATTTTTGCTGTACGTTAAGAAGCATCTTTCCATCATACATTGCCCAAGTTTCAATGAGATAGCCCAACAAACAACCGAGAAAAAAAAATACCAAAAATCATATATGGCAAGCCCAAGCCAGGTACTGGAAATAAGTCACTTTGTCTGACTTTTCTCGGTTATCCTAGGTTCTCTATACATACATTGCTATGTATGATAATCTATGTAACTGTATTTGTGTATACCTGAATAAACTTATTTACTTCTAGTCTGTCGATTGAGTACAAGAAACCACCCATTCACTTATTTCAACTACCCAATAAAGTGGTCAGAAATTGGCAATTTGGCTGATTTCACACAAATTTCAACAGATGCCAATTTCAAAATAGGATCCAAAATAAACAATGCAGACATTCCTGGCACTAAAATAACATTTTATCTGTTCATTAATCATTACTACAGGCCCCTCTTATATTACTCTTGCTTTTCATTTGGAATTTTTATTCACAAAAAAAAAAAAAAAATAGAAGATTTACTCTTATGAAGACTGCTGCATTATTGTAATAATTGTATAAATAATGTCAATCCATTCTTGACTCCGTACTGGAATTTAGACTGGCAGGCGGACAGGTATTGGACGGTGACATTATTTGTTTACTCTTGAGCCTCGCTAAAGAAGAGAACATTTTCGCTACTGTGAGCGCAATTTCAAGGAACTTTTCGTCATGAAAGCAATCAAAATCATATCTATTTCTGTAATATATCTTTCATTCTATCAAATGAGACCGAAAAAATGAGAATATAACCATAACAACCATACAAAAATATACCGCTAAGCGGCCGCTAATGGCTGAGAAGTGAACTCCGCCATTTATGGTCTGATTTCTTTCATTTTTAGTGTACGTGAAGAAGTATCTTTCCATCATACATTGCCCAGGTTTGAATAAGATAACCCAACAAACAACTGAGAAAATAATAATATAATAATAATAATAATAACAATATCTCTATTTACTACACGCACATGTACAAGGTATACAGGCCTAGCTGACATCAGTGACATACTACTGTATAGAAAGCCGCTTGTTATGCAGAGTATTTCAAGAAAATTAGATCAGTGTCCCAGGATAACACCCACACCAAGCCACCAAGACAGGGATAGGAGAATGGTGTTTGTATACCATATCCTCTTCATACCTCCGTCGAACTGCTCAGTGTTATGCCAAATATTATTTATTCTGGAGTATTTAACATGTTTTATGTTATTTATATTGTTTCTTATGTCATATTAGATCAATTGTGATAGGCAAATAAGCTGTAATGTTGATTTTATTTTATTAACACACTGGCTGATTCCCACCAAGGCAGGGTGGCCCGTAAAAGAAAAACTTTCACCATCATTCACTCCATCACTGTCTTGCCAGAAGGGCCCTTTACACTACAGTTTTTAAACTGCAACATTAACACCCCTCCTTCAGAGTGCAGGCACTGTACTTCCCATCTCCAGGACTCAAGTCCAGCCTGCTGGTTTCCCTGAATCCCTTCATAAATGTTACTTTGCTCATACTCCAACAGCACGTCAAGTATTAAAAACCATTTGTCTCCATTCACTCCTATCAAACACGCTCATGCATGCCTGCTGGAAGTCGAAGCCCCTCGCACACAAAACCTTCTTTACCCCCTCCCTCCAACCTTTCCTAGGCCAACCCTTACCCCGCCTTCCTTCCACTACAGACTGATACACTCTTGAAGTCATTCTGTTTTGCTCCATTCTCTCTACATGTCTGAACCACCTCAACAGCCCTTCCTCAGCCCTCTGGACAACAGTTTTGGTAATCCCGCACCTCCTCCTAACTTCCAAACTACGAAGTCTCTGCATTATATTCACACCACACATTGCCCTCAGACATAACATCTCCACTGCCTCCAGCCTTCTCCTCGCTGCAACATTCATCACCCATGCTTCACACCCATATAAGAGCGTTGGTAAAACTATACATGTACTCTCATACATTCCCCTCTTTGCCTCCAAGGACAAAGTTCTTTGTCTCCACAGACTCCTAAGTGCACCGCTCACACTTTTCCCCTCATCAATTCTATGATTCACCTCATCTTTCATAGACCCATCCGCTGACACGTCCACTCTCAAATATCTGAATACATTCACCTCCTCCATACTCTCTCCCTCCAATCTGATATCCAACCTTTCATCACCTAATCTTTTTGTTATCCTCATAACCTTACTCTTTCCTGTATTCACTTTTAATTTTCTTCTTTTGCATAACCTACCAAATTCATCCACCAACCTCTGCAACTTCTCTTCAGAATCTCCCAAGAGTACAGTGTCATCAGCAAAGAGCAACTGTGACAACTCCCACTTTATGTGTGATTCTTTATCTTTTAACTCCATGCCTCTTGCCAAGACCCTTGCATTTACTTCTCTTACAACCCCATCTATAAATATATTAAACAACCACGGTGACATCACACATCCTTGTCTAAGGCCTACTTTTACTCTGTTCTACATACTCTAACTTGAGCCTCACTATCCTCATAAAAACTCTTCACTGCTTTCAGTAACCTACCTCCTACACCATACACCTGCAACATCTGCCACATTGCCCCCCTATCCACCCTGTCATATGCCTTTTCCAAATCCATAAATGCCACAAAAACCTCTGTAGCCTTATCTAAATACTGTTCT